TTACGATATTCCTGTATGGACGGTGTTTTCAGCCATAGTATTTACTATGAAGAGACGTCTTTTAGAAACGAAGTTCATTACACTGATCTTAGACCTAAAACCACTTTAGATATGTGTAAATCTGTAAGCTTCCCTGAAAAATCCCGATCCTGGTCTGTAGATCTATTAAAAAAAATTTTGGTGAGTAATTTCTGTTAGAGAACGTTTTGGGCACAGAAAAAATTTATCTCAATTATCTGTGGAGTCCCTTCTTTCATGTTCCACCCCCAACTCGGTCCGCCCGAAGCGGTGCTGTGGATACATTAATCTTAGGCTGCTCTTAAGAGCAGAGCATGCCAAGTATAGAGAGATATTTTGGGAATAATATTTTTTTTTAATATTTCGTCCTTAATAGGCTAGATCTCGGACAAACAATTTAAACTGGACTGCTTTCTTGAAGGTTTTTGATTTAATAAAAATTCATGTCCGAGTATTGTGAACAGCGGAGATAAAAATATTTTTTTAAATACCATACATCTCTTCAATATCCCGTTGACCTAAATTATATTCTTTACTAGCAAATAAATTATCTAGATTTCCACTTGACTTCATTTAAGTCCATTTTCCGTAAACTAAATATTTTGTCATACTTTTAATTTTCTCACGATTTTTAAGAAATCTGTAGTCCTCAAGAGTACCTTTTAAACATAAACCAATCCCAAAGATTAGGTCATTAATAAAAAAGTTATAGAGAAACTTACATTAGGTAGTTTTGAGCATATAGCAAGGCGAAATTTTTTATTAGATACGCCAAATCCTCTTCAATTTTTTTTGTAAGCCTGGAATCCAGCTCTCAAGAAAAATCACAAAAATATTTTCCATTATTTCTGTTGTTTGAAAATGCACTTTTTCTTGAGAGCTGCAAACTGATTTAAGAAATTTTGATAGAAGAAAATTTCTTTTCCATTTTTGTTCGTCATTTTATATGAATTTTTCGTTTTTCTTAAGAGCTGGAAAGAGCCCTTAAACTAGAATAGGGAATTCACGAAATTTTCTTTTTCTTTTTATGAGGACCATAGAGTCTATTGTCTGTTTTAAAATCTTGCCTATCAACCACATAGCATTTACACATAAATATGCACGGTCGACAAATTTTGACAGTAAATACGAAAATGTCTCTACCCTTCGCCACCTAGTGAACGCTCTCCTCCTCCACAAATATTTATTTCCTATCAACTAGCTAATGCCAAAATCCCTTGTGTGGATTAAAATCAAAATGATACAATTTAAAAGGGTGAGGATCTCGTAAAAAAAGTAATAACTTTTTTCTCGAAATCATCATCAAAAAAATAATCACAAACTGGATTTATTAATACGCGCTGCAAACTTTCACCGCCACTGCCTGCAATCGGTGCTAATACAAACTAAGTATTTATTTGCCAACGCCTTCTTATTATCCATATCAACGCTCACTCAATCAATCAATCAGTCATTCGCAACGGTCATTTGGCGGAGACAAACTTTCAGCAAAATTTCACTGCAATCAAACAAAATGCGGCTTTTAATTAACATTTGGAGCAATTAATTTAACATAAATAGAGCATGCCACAAATCAGCGCTAATGCCAGTGTAAATACATATGTGTGTGTGAAACACTTGCAACATATGTAGTTGATACTTTGTCTGCAAATATCGTAGCACACCTGCCCACTTGGCTACAAAAGTAAGTGAACATAGAATGTACGTATGTATGTACGTCCATATGTAGGCAAGCAGACGTGACGTGATGACAGGCATTCTTGTTTGAGCGCTCCGGAACCTGTCTACCCATCAAGCCTTGAAATGGAGTTTGTCTGAAAAGCGTTTAAAAAGTGCACTCCAATACCAGCACACCAACGAGTGCATACATACATACATACATTAATAAATATGTGCAGATGCATGCTTGTGCCATAAGTCAATTTGCTGCTAAGTTTGTTTATGCGAGTGCCGTCGTCTTGTGTAACACGAGCAGGTAGTTGCCACAAATTTTAAATAAAGAAATGAAGTGGGTCAGACGCATGGCCGAAACGTCAGTGTGGCAGCACAACCACTGAATTGCTTGAAAGTAACAACCCACGCAATATTGCCGACTATGTTGCCGGGTGAAATGAGAAAATGAGAAGTGCAGGAGGCCTTTGCCGCAACTAATTTAACAAAACACAGCTAAAACAAAACTAATAAAAACTGAAGCGTAGAATTAGTTTTGCCTATATGCAAGCAAATCAATGTCAGTCAGTCAGCCAGTTAACAAGTTGAAAGCATGAAAACATTCGCTAGTGCATTACTAAGTAAGTCAGTCACTCAGTCTGCTTATGGCTTGGTCAATCCGTCCGGCAGTAAGTCACTCAGTCATTCAGCCAGGCGGTCAGATGCTCGGCAGGCAGAAACATAAATTCGTAACATAAACTTCGCATTTGTCAAAAGTTTTTCAAAACTTGCCAGAATTGTATGTACAGTTAAGCATGTAGTATACGTATACTCGTACATATGTATTGAAAGCATCAACTAACTGCCAGCCTTTGAGTGCTAGTTGTAAATTGGCGCATCTGCATTGCCTGCAACGGCGTAAAGTTTTCAATTTACTTGCCACTTCCACTTCTACAGCAGCCGTCAGAGTGTCCGTTCGCCTTTCGCTTCGCTTCACTCGGCTGTCTGTAATCGCTGGCAACGTCAATGTTGCAATTAGAGTTGCCGTTGGCTACTGTGTGTGTGCTGCATGCAACCGCAAAAGGTAACTCACATCTGTAGTGGAGTTGCTTCACATTTACATTTATTACTTTTGTTGTCTTTGCGCATGCGGCCTACGTGTCAGTTTGTTGTCGACTTGCTGCCTAACAACTGTTTATTTGTGGCTTAGCTACAGAACAATTGCTAGATTAGTTCTAATGAGCTGATATGCACAGCACCTAACGCGTAACTGGAAGTCACGGACGTGTTAACTCTCGTAAACTGCTACTGGTTGTGAATGTGATTGCTTATTGTGGCGTGGAATAAAACGAAAGTCATAATTTTTGCATATTCTTTCTCATGGTAATGCTTTTGAAATGTCTTAAAGAAGAGACCTCAATTCCTGGATCAACTTTGAAGCCAAGAATTGGGAAGATTTGAACCTTAACTCTTTAAATTTTTTGGAAATTAGTTTGCCCCTGCAAGTGTCATATATCTCGATCACAGGTCAAAGAAAACGCAACACCAGTTAGCTTACTTTCTTCTTACTTTCTTTATGAGACCGTCTTGGCCTCGTCTTTTCAGTCAAACTTGATTCGCTTAAGTAATTCTATTTACATTCATTTCTTGTTCACTTTCTCGTTGATGGAAATAGCACCAAGTCTTGGGGTGCTGTACAAAGAAGTTGACAGAGGTTTTCACAGTTAGTAATCTAAATGATTTCAACGAAATTTGTCTCTCTAAGAAGAAATTGGGTTTAAGGAAATAGGCATTCAGCAGATTTCGATAGCTCTGGATTTTTTTTTGACAAATTTCTACTACGGAAAAAGTGTAATAACGCTCATTTGGAATTATTGCTTTGAGCGGTAAAGAGAAGCGATACTACTAATTCTGTCCATACTCCTGCTACTACTACTACCACTCCTCTTTCTGCCAATATTAATACTACCATTTACGTTGTAAGTACCAGTATTAAGATATGCTAACATATGCCTATTTATATTCACTCTAATACACTCCTTTTTTCAATACTTTTTCTACCACTTCCATTACTCATACCAGAACTAACTATAACTTCCCCTACTACTGCTGCAAATGTTACCAATACTACTTATTATACTTCTACTACTTTTTATTCTAATAATACTATTTTTTATCTTACTTCTACTAAATTTACTACTAGTCCCTATTCTACAAATATGTACTCATACTTTCATTATTACTATTGCTAATACCACTACTACAACTTTTGACAGAATTAATTCTATTATTAATAATTATTATTAATTAGTATGTAATTATATTTATACTATTATCAATGCTACTACCATTTCTAGTCACTACTGCTACTTTAATACTACTAATTTATCTACCGTAACTACCTGTACTAGTACTAATATAGCAGTATTTATACTGACACTCTTACTGCTAATTTCATTACATTTTTACTGGCATTCTTATACTTTTAATATAGGTATCAAAACATATTCCAAATACTTTTAGGCACTTCTGTCACTAATCCTAACCATTAGAAATACAAACTCAGCCTTATCATGAGTTTAATTTTAGCCCGAAATCGTCCACTATTCGGTCCGCGTTTTCACTACGGGCGAATGAAAAAAACAAAAAACTGATTCAGTTTTCGGGCGAAATTCACGATAAGGGGCACTTATTAATATCAAGTGCCACTACTAATCTTACTACTTCAACTTATACTAATATTCCTACTACTACTTCCCAAATTTGAGAAACGAGGCTCTCTAATTTCAATCAATCCATCAACAAAATTAATTTGAGTGCCTTTATGTATTCCAATTTTCGTTCGCTATAAATAAAAAGACTTCGCACAAATTGTCTTTTACTACTTTTTCTAGCACTACAGCGACCTTCCACCTAAATACCACCCTCCGGTTGAGTAACTACAACTCCGACTTGATAATTTAGCATGCGTCTCGTTAATAGTTACCTTACCATTGTTGTATAGAGAATGATTGTCAGTAAGCTAATTTCACTTAAAAATTGATTGGCTAATGACGAGCCCTTATGCCAAGTAGGTAAAACGATTAATGACATATTGCGTTGGCTAAGGAATTGATAGGATCATTCATTCAAATGAATAGTTGGCCATTCATAGTTGCATGCGTGAGAGCGTAAATTGCCAATGCAGCATAAAACAATTTACTATTATTATTGATTTAACTTGAAGCAGTTATGCCGCACTGGTCTTCAAAGACACTATCAATTACATTTGTACTTACCTATGCATGCCTATTTATAATGGAAGGGAAGCAGTTAAGTCAATGGACAGAACGATGAACTTGTTGAAGGACTTTTGTCTTTTAGCACAAAACCAGGTACGATTTGATTAATTGAATACTTTGGCGTGCATTGGCTATCGATTAATTTTGCATGTGTTGCATGTTGCATGTGTGTAATGGTACTCCACTCAGTGAAACGCTTGCAGCTTATAAGTACAGCCTTTTCATGTGCTGCTGGCGATTGCTTATGACCCACAATTTATATTACAAAGTTGCCAAGCTAAGCGCTTCAAAAGTATACAAATAAATAATAACCGCGCATGAAATTGCTTTTTAACGGGCTCAGTGGCGTTCGAGTTGCTTTTTTTTTGATTTGCTAACTGACTTATTTTTCAACTGCCAATCAGCCTCATCTGCCTCGCTCGGACTTTGGCTGTCATGTCAGCTCGCTTGCCGCCATCAATCAAATGTTCATTCCTTGCATACATATTTAGTCTGGGACGAGCAGTTACACTTTTTGCTTTCCTTGTTCTGATTCAAATTTACTGCTGCCCTAAGGACCAACAACTCAATACGCAAAATCTCAGTTGAAATTACCACTAAATAAATGCAAGTGCTGCATGTAGCATGCTACATGCAACTCAATTGAATGCATATGTGGGCACCTAAATTATCGACATCTCTGACTGACTGACTGACTAACTGCTTGACTGATTGCCACAAATGTGCTGGCTGGTGCATGTTTTAAAATTATGGCAAATGCCGGGAAATTACGTTGGCGTTTGTGGCAATCAGGTGAGCATTTTATGCATGCCACATAAATAACGTAAAACAGCGAAATGAAAACACTGCAAAGTCAGTTGCATTGCAGTGGCATGTGGGGTAAGGTGACCGCTTGTGGCTTGCCGTGTTTAGTATGCCGAAGTTTGTGTGAATTTAACTGAAAATAGTATCACTTTTAGGGATTATGTTATCTATTAGCTATTACTATGCTGGATTTCCAAACGGAATTAAATGGCAAACATTTCAATGACAATCTTCAGCATTAAAAAATATTATTGTTATTACTATAAACAAAGTCATAAAACTAATTTCCACATTTCATTTTTTAAATGCCTCTATGTTTTTCATTTCAAAGCCTAGTGGAAATTCGGCATTCGAGTTTCGTGCTACACTCCGCAGAGTCATTACTTCTTAGATGGCACCTCTACTAAATTTTTTAATGAAATATTTCCAAACTGCTTCGTTTATATGTATAAAGTCTACCTAAATTTCCCAACCTATTTTAGTTAATTAACAGCTGGCAACCCTATCTGAAAATGTTTTCAATGTAAATTTTCATTTACAAAAAGCATACAACTTTGGTTTCTAAAACTTTATTTACATCTGTATATAATTTTATTGTATAAGTAAACATTTATCGTTTAAACCAGACAAAAAAATTTTCAACTTACAATAAGGTGGCAAGCTTGTCCAAATTTATTTGGAACACAGTTGGTTGCATAAATATTTCTCTGCCAGAATTTATATTTTCTTATATTAGGTAACCCAATTTTTTAATTAGGTGGCAACGTTGTTAAAGCTAGTGCTAAATTGAGGCTGCCTTCTCCTTATACTATTTGATTTCTGTGAAATTTTTTTCCATATGTAGGTATATTTAAAATTTCAGTTGAGTGGCAACCCTATTTAAAAATATGTTTGGATAGATCTCCATAAAATATGTAAGAGTCTGATGTCCATGTTGCAGTATTTTGCAAAATATAACTTGAAATATTACTTCATATTTTTAAATGGGTGGCAACTCCAATTTAAAATACAAATATATTTATTATCAAAAGCGCCAAAATTCTTCTTGTTTGATCTCTTTCAACATTAACTTTATCGAAAAGCGTACCTCAGCAATCGCTCTTGTCAATTTTTTCGTCTACATGGCAACACTGGTATGCAAATTTTTGCATAAGAAAAGCATTATCAAATCATGTTCATTAACTCTACGTATATGCTAATGCCATTCGTTGCAGCCATGCTAACCGTTTTTGTTTTTCCCCTTTCTCATTGCAGGCAGCTCCACAGAGTTGGCACCATCGCTGCTGGGCATCTACGACACCTTGACAAGTGTACTAGATGGAAGTAGCAAAAGCGGTAGCAACCATAACGGCGGCAGCCACAACAACAGCGAAAATTTAAAAATCTGCGAAAATAACAACAAAAACAATAGCAGCGCGCGGTGCCACAAGAGCGAAGAGAACGCCAGCAGCGTTGAATTGCATTCTAACGGTTCCGCAAGCACGAAGAGCAGTCACAGCGACTCGTCAACGCTCAGTAATAAGAGCAGTCGCAGCTCAAGTTTCAGTTTGGAGGAAAAGCTAAGCGGCGAGTATAGCTACAATGTAGACAGCTACAATAATAACAGTAACAACCGCAGTGTTAACAATAACAAGAATACGTCCTACTATAACGCTGAAAGTGAGGAGCAGCCACAACAATATTTGTCAACACCACATAAACGTCAATCGGGCGAACAGTCGCCCGATGCCACGAATTCATTGAGCGGTTTTGCGGGCAGTGGCATCAGCGACGGTCGCAGCACTACGCTTGCACTACTTAACCTCGCCTACAGCAATAGCAGCCGGGAGCACAGCATAAAACACAGTTACAGTCAAAGTAGTCGTAGTCTCAGTTCGCTCTCATCGTCCTCGTCATCGTGTAGTCAACGCAGCAACAGCAGCGGCAGTGGTGGCGGAGGTGCCTGCATCAATAGCCCGTCTGGCACGCGTTTGTCGCGGGACTCCCCGTTGGCACATAGCTCGGGCAGCAACAGTAGTCTTAACAGCCCCAGCAAGCATCGCAATCAAATCCGCGTACTCTCGCCCAACGTGCAGCGCATCATAACCCACTCCGACGCCGAGCGCGTAGAAACAGTTGACATTGACGCACTGCAGCAGCAGCAGCCAACGCACTTGACTAGCCCCCTCAACTCGCCAGCGTCACACCACCGCTATATCAAGAAAGCGTCCCCGCCTGGCGCGACGTCTACGCCAAATGGCGTGCACAAGGTGAAGTTGTCGCACATACCGCTCTCCAAGATTACCGGCAAGCTAACGCAGTCGGGCAACGAACTTGTGGAGACCTTCGACTCCAGTTCGGAGTACTTGGATGCGCTCAGCTTTCAGTCGTATGCCGAATCGAAGCCGACGCGTGGTCTGAAGAAACCACCCACCCCAGCAGTGGTGCACATACCGGGCGTAGACAGTTGTACTGTTGACGGTGAGGTGACGCCGACCAATAAGAACAACAATGCAGCCACCGCTATTACAGAACCGCAAAGCGCCTTCAACTTTAACAACACATCATACAAATTATCACTGCCAAACTATGAACGCCAAGAGAGTATTAAATTGATCGAAATGGAGCAATTAGCTACAACATCGCAAATGATAACCGTCGCGAATGATACAATACCTCCAGCGTCACCTACAACTACACTGCCACTCCGGTTGGAACAACAACCAAATCAAATTAACAATAACAACGATGTCCCTTCACCGCTCAGCACTCCACCTCCGTTACCCACTAAGGAGTTTGTCGCCACCGCACCGTTGTCCCCCTGCGATATAGTCGAGGCTTTAAATTATCCGCTGCTCACACAAGACCTCAAGAAACTCACACTCAATGATAAGGATACCATGAACTCGTCAATGACGAGTGTTGAACTCATCGAAGCTATCAACAAGCCAGTGATCTCTAAACCTTTGGTACGCAGTTCTTCGGCAGCCTGCGCATCTACTGTTTCCGCTTCGCCAATGCTCACCTATGCACGCTGCAAAAGCTTGGCTGCAAAGGCAAACACATTGGGTGGAGCAGTGCCTATTAAGCTGCCTACAGCACAGCAGTTGGAAGAGCTCGAAGAGGCAAGCAAAATGTCGGCAGAAAGTCTAGATCGCCTCACTGATATTAAGTCAAAATTTTCACCCAAAGAGTCACGTAAAGGTGGCCCAATGTTGCCAGATATTGCTAAGCTTAAGCATCGTCCTCTTTCATCGTCGTCAATTTGTTCAACTTCCTCCAGCTCTAGCTCGGGTTCAGACCACCTGAATGGGAAGTTGGCCACCTCATATTTGGCGAGCGTGGAAAGCTTGGCTGATCAAAGTGAAAACGAGCTAATGGATCCGCATAGCGGCATGACGGTGCTGGAGCGTGCCATGTTGGAAATAGTCGACTCAGAGCGCAGCTTTGTGGAGGACTTGGGACAAGTCATAAGAGGGTGAGTGATATGTAATTATTACTTAAGAGAATAATACTAGCGCTGCGGCTTTTAACCTATAATACGCTCTAGGGTTTCATCCGCCTGCCCACAAAATCTGGCGTAAATTTTGGCAGACCCCTATTACCAAATAAGTCAGTAGAGTCCTCCAGCCTTTCCGGCTTGGATTTTCGAACTTAAGCCCAAATATGCTTTCCTCAGCATTGCCATAATCGAGCTGGATGCATCAGTATATTAAAATGAACTCTTTGACCAGCATAAATGTCTTAGTAGCTTTATATGCAACCGCTGTAAGAAGAACATTTCGTCCCAATTTGTGTGGCTTTAGTTTTGGTTAGCTAAATTTAGGGCTATCTCTAAACTGGAGGAAATTGTGTCATCATCCCAGGCCCCTACATAGATGACTCAGTCATTTTCCAATTTTAGAGGAGTTCATCGATTACCAAGGTTCATATTAAGGAAGATAGAACATCTCGTCCATAGCCTTGAATATAATAGACGTATGACGTATTGTCGAACGCACACCAAAGGACATGAAACGCTCAACCGGCTATATATTTGGACTACAAAACCTTTCAATTCCTATTGCAGCAATAGTAGATTTCCGTGATTATTAAGTATGTTTAATTTCAAACAGGGCTTGACTTTTAGATAGGTATGATGTGAAAATGAATTAATTTGTCTGTTTTTAATTTTAAAAAAGCTGGGGATATGCCTATGGAAAATTTTCGGAGTTTTTTTTCTCTCTTTGGGTGTGAATATAACCTTAACCTTTCTCCGTCCTTCCTACCTTCGTTCGGAATTTCTCTTCCAAGACTGAACCTAAGACGCCTTGAGTTGGCTTTGAATCAAACTCAAGATCAAAGTATGTAATTGATATCGTAGACATGCTTACATCCTGCTCTATGTAAAGATTGAAGAAATTCCAGTCAGTTTATCTGGTGTTCCTGGTTAGTTGGTGGTTCGGGTTTCCATATCTGTGAATACCTCGTTTGATACGAGTAGATTTTAGTTAGAGAAAAATTCGACATGCAGCATAGACGAGTAATTGATTAAGTGTAAGGCTTCACCTCTTTTTAGGTGATTCACAAGGTGTCATGAGCCATAAAATCATAAAATTAAAATTACGAAATTGCAATATTTTAGTTTCATTTGTGTACAATCAAAAAAAAAATCTCCCGCAAAATGCTATGATTTTATGATTATGACGCCTTGTTAACTCTCTCACTGATAAAAGAGTCGGCTCATTTCGCAGATCAAGAAAATAAACTGTTTTGCTAATAAATTCAAGAACGGACTGAGCATCTGAGCTATACCACGAACAATGATGCACGTTCGCGTCACAGCTCAATATCCGTTTCAGCATTTCGTCTGCAATACTCCTTTTGGCCGAGGCAAGTACAACGTCTAGCACCTGCTTGTGAGTGAGTCTCTTAGTCCTTATGGACACAAGATGCTGATATAACAACTCTGAAATTTAAAGGAAAGTTGCATTATTTCTTGTCGCTCTGAGTTCTCAGACTAATTCACAAGTGAATTTGCGTACACCGTAGTTTCGTGTCTCTCGAAAAAACGAGTTCAGGGATATTTAGAAACTTAGATATTTAGGGGATTCACAAGGCATGTTAAGCATCGCAATATTTTATGTCTTAAATTTTTTATATGTAAAATAATGACTAAAATAAGTTTAAAGGATTTCTAACTACGCCGAAATCTTTTGGAACTGATAAATAAAATAAATAAAAAATATAATATAATTTCACTTGGTATCGAATTAACATACCATTTAAGGAATTATTTTAAACTTTTTATAATTAATGAGTATTTTTTCTCTGCTCGTCAGGGCATTAATAGCAAATTTGAATGCCCTCAATATTCTTAATTAATTGCTCACGCTCAACTTACTAACTCACGTGTAAACTTAATTTTCAGGTATCTAGCGGACTGGAAAGAACGTGCCTGCCTCCGTTATGACGAACTGAAAATACTCTTCGCCAATATCGAAGAGATTTATGAGTTCAATGCGACGCTCCTGAAGCAGCTAATCAACTCTGGTATGGATCCAGGAAAAATAGCCAAATGTTTTATAGATTTGCGCGAAAGATTTGATGTATACACAACATATTGGTAAGTGAAAATGGGTGGCAAAAGTGTTTTGAAATAATTAATAAGAAAATAGATCAATATGAATTGCAAAACAAGATTAAGAAAGCAATAAAAATTTAGAAATTAATGAAAGAACAGCAATTAAATTTAACAGCCAAGCAAGGTAAAGCAAAAATAATTCGCAGCCTGCGCCACTTTTTGTTTTGACTTTTATTTGTATTTTATTTTATTATTTACCAAACGTCTTTCGAGAGCCACTCGCGTGCATCTATTCTTGCTTTGCTGTCGCTGTTCTAATCTGATTTTGCTCAACTGGCTAGCCAATTTCGTGTCGCTGATTTTATTATTTAAAATTCATGAGATTTTCTATTCGCTTGAACGGACACTAAATTAAATTTTATTTGCACACCAAAAGCCACGAAGCATAGAAGCAATTTTAACCGCGAAATCAGTAGAGCAATGTCTCAGCATAGTTAATCAGTTAACAGGGCATGAAAGTGGAAGAAGCGTGTTAACGAAAAAAAAAAATATATATATATAAAAAATGCCACAGAAACTAATAAGAAAAAAACTAAACCAAAAGAAAATAACGCTGATCTTGATTTCATTTGGAGAACAAGCTAGACGAAAGAAGAAGAAGCAGCAGCAGCAGAAGAAGTGCAATTTTACGGTTTCGCTTCGTGCGCATACTTTTATAGGTGACTGTTTAGCGGCGACGAAAGAAGCTCGTACTAGTTCTTGAGATAGTGGCAAGCGAACTGGCAAACGAACGAACGATAGTAGAATACAGATAGTCACGCAGCCACAAATGTAGACAGTCCAGTTACGCTATTTGGCAAGCGGCCAACCAGCCAAGGAGTCCAACAGCCAGTCATGCAGCCAAGTAACTAGGCGATTCGGTGAGCTTGGCCGGCTGGCCGACGACAGTTAGACAGGCGTTGAGTGCCTGTTAGACAGACTCTTCGCTGTTCGATGCCTCCGAAAGCGCGCTAGGGTAGTGGATGATGGCTGCAGATTGGTTGCTGGTTAGAAGTTTAGCTGCTGTCAAGCACGCCAACGATTATTCACTCGCTGTAGTTGTTGCTGCTTTTTTATTTAGATTTACGTGCTTGCAAATGTATCCATATTCACAAACAACATTTCATCATCGTTGAGTTCTATGCTCAGCTACAAAAGGTAGGTAGATACGCTGCATGAAGTGATGACATTACCAATAACCCATTCGGACAGTTCTGGGCTAACTGTGCAAAAATGTGGATTTTTTTTTTTTTTTGTGGGAGTGCTTGCTGTGCGCTATCAGTTCGACGTTTTTGCTGTGTGTTCTCTGTCAATGTCAGTTACTTGCGGGCAGTTACTGACAGGCAAACAACACACGTTTCGTGTACCTGGTACTGGAACTTGCAGCAGTGCCATGGAATTCAGTCAAAAGTGGCAGCCAAACACACAAACAAAAATACGAAATTGATGATTTAATGATTTCATGATTTGCATTCTTTGTCGTTGCCAACAATGCCGCTGCTGCCACCCAGTGCTGTCACCCTCACGCTCACTTTGGCCGCCTTGACTGTCATTGTGTCACTTTGGTATTTGACTCCCGCAGTCAAAGCAATTTATGTGCTATACTTGCGTATTTTTCTTACTGCTGACGTTTTATTTTGCATATTGCACGCGGTGGGTATTGCAACTGCACTTTAGTTGACATTTGAAACTTTTGCTTGTTGGTGACCCTGTCAGGGGCTGGCATTTTTATATTTCTATGTCATTTTTGATAGTTATTTGACGATAAGTGAATTCGCGTTAAGCAACTATGACAATGAAAAATAATTGAGTGGAACGGTAGAATATGTACTTGCAGTGCTTTGAAGGCTTGGGTCAAACTTCTAGGTTAATGGCGTTTACTGTCACCAGAGAACTGTAAAAGCTATTTAAATTTCGAGCTTAAGCTCCGTAGGTCCAAGGTTAGATTCCTGGTCCGAGAATAAAAAAACGGATGTTTCTAATCGCCATCGCCCCCCTGCAGGCAATGGCAAGCCCCCGATGGTACTTCTGCCATAAAAAAATACTCGTAAAAAGTGTATCTTACTTTAAAGCAAGTAACCTCGTTTATTCATCTAAGTATTGCCCCATTGCGATGATCTCATCTTCTTCCATTATTCGCCAGTTTCTGCAGCGTAGCGATTGGTAAAAATAAGCTCATCCAATATTTTCGCAGTTGGAGCTCCACAATATTGACGAATATTTCCTCAATAAGTACATGACCTTAAGATAAATGATTTTATGTTAGTCTTAACTATGGCTCTCGGACCAGAGTGATATCTATTTTACCTGAGAGCTAACGAACTAAATTGCTGCTTCAGTGTAATGAAATTGTTTTATATGAAGATCACCACTTGGGACCATAGTAAGGAGCTTGAAAGCTTTGAGAGCGATGAAAGCTTTATCAAAGATTGTTCTGAGCCCGCGCGGCTCACTCTTAGATTTGCACTCTACGTCGTGCGTTGCATGATCGCTGCGTTGCTCTACTATTTTCACGAATGGTGGTAGTTCACTAGAGCTTCGCTTTTGGCTTTGTTGGTTTTTTGAGAGTAGGCATTCCGAAGACATAGTTGTCCTTGTTTTCACTCTTCATTAGAAAGTCTGGGTTTCCGGGGCTATCTGCATTGCTGCTTAGTTCGTTCGCTCTATATTTACTACTCTGTAGTTGCGTGTAGATAAGTACAGGTTGAACTTTTGGAGCATTTCCGAGGTTTCCGCTGAATCCGATGACATGACTGTTATCCCAGCTCTCACTGTGGTTCGCAACGACTATTAGACGAGCTGCCCGGTAGACTTCTTATACTTTGCCCATGACGATGGCACTTTTAAACCACTTTTCCAATCTACTATCGTCACGGAACGACAATATTTATTTGGTTGACTTTTCCGACACGGTGTGAGAATGAAAATTTACATTGAAGATAAAAAACGCCGAAACAGGTTTGTCTCCATGCCAAACCTGACAAAGGATGATGGAAATTTGTTTCAAAATACTAACCAGCATATGATGGAACAGACCTGAGCTATTCTGCTTTAGCCTACAGTTATACTTTTACTAACGCGACTAGGACGTACTCCCAATGATTCCTAAGGATCCTACTTTCTTCACTTCTTGGATCTATGCCGCCTATTATCTTCAGAATATTTTCTATCTCAGTAAAGGGTCGAGTACAAATTGCAAAGATTTAAGTCCGAGATCAGACGCTTTTCGGTAAGAGGTGAACTCACTACTGAAGGCCACTGAGTATTTTCACTGCAGGTCTCCCAGATAAGTTGACTCAAGTGAGAGGAATCGAAATTTTATTTTCTTGCAACAGGTGACAGTTTCGTTCAATTTTTGGTGGATGAGATTAAACTTGCTGTGCACTTCCTTTGTAGAGAAGCTCAGTGGTGCCATAGCCATAATGAAAGTGGAGAATGTAGCTTCTGCCAGTTTTTTAGAGGAACGCTCATCCCCCTTTTTAGGTGTGTCAAATCCAAAGTAGTTTTCCGAGTGACTGAGAAAGAATGTTGTCCACCTGGTTAAAGATGCCATTACCAGAGGAGAGTGTTAAATCTGAGTAGATCACACAGTATTCGATGCACTTCATTATGGACTAAGCTGCGTGAGGAGTCGCCAGTTAGGCTGATCCATGGTATGGGCCATATAAGCGTGTTCGAGCTGGAATTTTCACCGATTTTCTGTTAATAGACTTTGAATTGTGTTAGTGTCCCCTCTTGATTTATCCGAAAAATGCCTACATATCGACTGTAAGATATTTCGTGGATTGTACGGGCCAAACTTATAAAAGTGCACATGATTATACAAGCGACTGAGATTTTATTTTAAAGTGAAAAAATTAAAATCTCTTAAAACTAAGACAACAAAGCCTATAGAACTGAAATTATGCTTTATTTTACATAAAATTCTTTATTACTTTCATTTTGTGTACTTTAAAGATTATCTTATTTACATCATTATTCTCCTTCCCTTTGCAGTACAAGCTATCCTGAAGCCATATCACTGTTGACCAAACTGTTACAGGCCACACACACCAACGCACTGCTGACGTCCACACAAAAAATGTTGCAACACAAGCTGCCACTCGGCTCATATTTGCTGAAGCCAGTGCAACGTATACTTAAATATCATCTACTATTGGACGTGAGTTGAAATAATAAGCTATTAATACTTCCCATATATGTATGTATGTAAATATTTTGGTTTTCCTTGCTTTGCTTAGAACCTTCGTAAACATTGCGATGTGAAGGAAGTGTTGCAAGCCTACGAAATCATGCGACAAGTGGCGCGTAATATCGATCAGGTGAAGCGTAAGTTGGAGCAACAAATTCGAGTTAAAGAACTCTCCGGCATATTAGATGGGTGGTTAGGACCAGGTGAGTTAGTTGAAGTGAAAGAAATTTATTTGTATTTACATACTTAAATTGCAAAAGTTTATGTTTAGACAATTGTATCTACTTACATATACATAGACTCGAAAAAGTAAATTTTTTTTAGTATTAACAATGTCCTTCATGCCAATTTTTCTTTTAATTTTCTATAAAAGTATTGTCCATATAAATCAAAGTGCCTGAATTTATATAAAATTTCGGAAAATTCAACAATTTTTCATAAAATTTTTAAACATTTTACCCTAATTTTAGAAAACTTTGCGTATGCCGTTTTATAGCTCATAAAATTTTTGTACAACAAATATTTTTTTTTTTGTCTCCGGTCTTGTGTGTTTTTCATAAACAATGTGCAACTTATAAAATTTCTGAAATTTGTTTGCAAAACTTTTATCGTCGGCCAAACTGCTTACCCAAAAATGTTCTAAAAATTTCAGATTAAAAAATTCGAAATTTTGATTAAAATTTGTTAAGTTTTTTTCTAAATTTTATATAAAGTTTGAAATTTCATTTATGTGGGGTTGGTTATAGCATAAACAATATTTTTATAAAAATAAAAAATTTTTTTTTTAAAGTCATTGTGAATATTTATAAAAATCAAAATGTGAACACTTGTCTCAGTCACTGTATACGTGTATTGAGCTAAATAAATTGTTCCCACCAAATTTGCAGAGCTCACCGTTTTGGGCGAACTACGCCAAGAAGGTCTCCTCATGGAGCACAATAAGCCACGCATGGTCTTCCTATTCGACACAATGTTGATCATTACCAAACCCAAAGAGGATAATCGTCTACAATTCAAGAGCTACATACACGTAAGTGACAATCAGATAAGCCCTACGTGTAAGCCAAATACTTATGTAAGTGCAAGTCATTGCCAAATCGACTTCCATTTCCATTTCATTTTTAGCAGCATACTTTCTTTTCTAACTTTTAGATTTACTATTTGCTGGCATAGTTACTTATTGATTTTTATTTGTACTTCCTTTGTGCTCTTTTATTTTGCTCTCTCTCTCACTCTCTCGCTCACACAGCAAAATAATCTAATGCTAAGCGAACATTTGCCCGGCGAACCGACGAGCTTTTATGTAATACCCTACCATGAGCCGCGTAATCAAATCAAATTGACAGCCAAAAATCGTGACCAGAAACGTCTTTGGGCGCAACATATTAAAGGAGTCATACTCGAGAAATTCGACAACATACCGAATCGCGCCAAGGAGCTGGTCTACAAGTTGGGCGACGAGGAAGGTACGAAAAATTCAAATACAAACATACACACACACTCCCATATGCATACATATTCACTTATGAACTTTAGTTCAGTTAGTAGGGCGGGTTGGGTGGCATGCCGCAACATGCCACATGGCATAAAGTGCTGTCATTGCCACTGTTGGCAGGCAAACTACCGAAATTATTTGGTTGGTAGTTTGTCATGTTTTTCGGGTGTTTTTGTTTTTTATTTTTGTTTAATTTTTTCCTTTGAGTTTGTCATACATTCAATGCAACGTAAAACATTTTCACTCTCATATGTACATACATACATACATACATAAATGCATATTCACACGCTTACGTATTCAGATTCCTTTGGTATTGGCATAACTTCACTCTCCTTTTTTCTTGTGGCCTGTCAGCGCTTTGTCGCTCCTTCTGTTTTTACAAGAAAATACCTTACTGCTTTTTATGATCATTTAAATTGAAAAGCTTTCCCTTTCATTGTAACTTGTCGCGGCGTCAGTGCGGCGCTTCCATGCCAAGTCAGTAACCACAAAAAAAAAATGGGGACACTTATTTGCACAAAAGAGGAAAAACCAACAAATGTGTGTCGCGAAAACACTTTATTTTTTTTTTGGAGCATGTTAGTATGCATTTGTTTTATCGAAACTGTAGTTTTATTTTAGGTAAGCATTCACAGTGAAATTCACACATATTTAATTGGCACATTTTGACATGCAACATAAATGATTTATAGTTTTTGGCGATGAGCGTGCTGAGTTAAGCCCTTTTTCTGGTCTATGACATGGTGGCTTTGTATTTTTTTTTGGCAGCCTGGAAAATTGATGTGCAAATTTAGCACACATGGCAATTGTTTGTGTTTGCTTTTGACATGCAACATACTCAAATAAGAAATTAATTTGCGATTAAAGTCGTGTCGAGGAAATCATTTTTATGGTCGATCTGGGATCGCAATAAATTTATGTTACGTAAAATCTTGTGACAGTCTCGAATGCTTGCAATTAAACCTATTTTATTTGACTTTTATTAGGTGTTAAATCCGGAAGGAATTGATTTTTTTTTGAAATTTTCCCCTTCTTTCTTGCACCTATTACTTTATATCCTCGTACAGGAAATGATTACCTATGGGGTGGTAGCTTGGGTTTCAGTAACTACTCTAGCCATGCTAAAACAAATGCATAAGTGGAACGATGCGACATGCCCGACGACGGTGCTGAAAGTAGACCTCGAACTTAAGCCACTTCATATAACCATAGAGTAGATAACAAAAAGAAATCTTATTTGCATTTCGATAGAGAGATTTGGAAAAGGTAAGGTCATATGCTCCAGGAATATGGAGAAGCTAGGGTTCTCGCTCCCACTAGCTTTGTTCCCTAGAGATGGCATAGGCATAACCATAGTTTTTGGGAAGAGCGTCTCCACCTTCGAGGAACTACTTCAGGGTTGGTCCGTGTACTGGTACGCAGATGGATCGAATAACCCAGAAGGGATAGGGGCTGGATTCGTCGGACCCAAGGCTAGGATATATGTTCCTATGGGGAAACATCCGAGCATATTTCCATCTATATTTGTGCGGAGACAACCATGAGTAGAGGGTATAGAAACGGGAGAACCATAATTATCTTTCCTATGAGGTCAAATCATCGTTAGTTCTTGAGTACATTGAGAAGATTAGCTCCTTTGGTAGACACAATAACATCAAGATAGCGTGAATACCTAGCCACAAGGGAGTGGAGGGTAACGAGGCGGTAGTCATCAGTCCAGTTTGCCCCGAGCCAATGCTAGGAGTGGGTCCCAATACTTTAAAGGAGGATCTTAGGAGGGAGAGCAACACCATGAGTGATTTAAACTGGCATAGTTCGTAAGGAATGCGTCAGGCAAAGAGCTTACCAGGAGGGTATAACAAAAGCAGATTCCAAAGTTTAATTAGCCTCCGAAAGGAGAAGCTTAGAATAATAGCATGTATCCTTACAGAACACTACAGGCTAAGAGGACATCTATATAAGCTGGGAATATGGTCAAATAATTTTTGCGGGTTCTGCAACTCTACCATCGAGACACCTCTGCACATCCTCACCGAATGTGACGCAGTCTGTAGAAGACGGGAGAGTAGTTTAGGCTCAATGTGGCCGCAGCTTAAGCACATTCACGCCCTATCCCCGAAAGTACTGTTGAGCTTACGCATGAATTTGGGTTTAGAAGAAGTATTGTGAAGAGTAGAGGTCGCGTAGTAGAGGTACTAGGTCGCGGTGTACACCTAATCTTAAAATTTATCTATATATCCATCCTCACTAAAGCAAACGCTTATTTAGAGCCACGGAAATAAAGCGCTTGGGCTGAAAAAAAACAATCCTTTATTCCAGACGTCATGAACCTACCCACCCTGGAATGCAATTCGTGCTTCCGAATCAGTTTTAAAGGGATATATTGTATTATAAAAATTTTACCGACCAGTTGAAGTTTCGAGTTTTTTTTTTATATCACAAATTACACGTTCAAATAATGTCAATACTTTCGATTGAAGTTTGTGCCTTAAGTCTTTAGTTTATACTATTTTGAGACTGGAAATATGAAACAGCAGAGAGTACTGTCGCAAATGAAAAACTTTTTCGGTGTATGTTGGTAAAAGTTCTGCCGTAGGGAGATCACGCCAATTAGATAATTTATATGGCAGATTCTCATTCTACCATGGTGGTGCCGCGTACAGTCGTTAGATTTTCGTTGGGCTCTCCTAAGTATGCCCATATCGTATGCGTATGTATTCTCGATTATATCAGTGTTTGAAATTTGCCAAAAATGGTCATTTTAATACTTTTAGGTTTGAGTATCTCATAAACCTTGCGTGCTGGCGAAATCCTCCCACCGGATTTGGACTCAGCGCAAAAAATTTCATAGGAAATAGATGGTCCAGTCGTTGTGTCTGAAAATTGTCGACCTGTGTAACCCGCATTAATTCATATTTATATAACATTACTTTGCTCACCCAATTCACATTGCAACATCAACCATGCCTTCCCATTTTTGTTTTATGTTCCCAAAAAAAAAAATAAAAAATTGTATAAGCGATATGCATTTTATTACCTCTTATATCAGTAGTCACTAACACTTACCCAGTTTTATGTTCTTACCCAAGCTTTTTTCTATTTCTCCCTCCTTTTACAGTGGCATAAGGTGGGCGTGCTTCTTAGGCGACACGCTTCTACTTGAAGCAAACTAAAACACTAAAATACATACATTTAAAACAAAAAAAAAACAAATTGCTATAAAGCCAAAATGCTTAAAAATTACAAACCAAAAAGACTTTGTCAACTGTGAACAGCCAAACTAGTAATTTACTGCAAAGCTTTTGCTGACCAACGCTAATCCTATCCTCCTGTTTTACTGTTTCGTTTCTTATCTTTTAACAAATAGTAAAATTGTAGTAAAGTTAACGGTTCAATGAATTGGTCACACAATATTAACTAACATTTACATAGATGTAACTGCTAAAAACCGTTAAAAGTCGTAGTTAAAAATTTTGTTTATACAACATAAAAAGTATTCGCATAAAGAGCAAATCAACAGTTCGTGGGTTAAATTTAAAAAAGTAGTAAGTACACACACATATATTGATCTTAGCTTGATGTTGTTGGTGTTGTCGATTGTTGTTGCTTGCTTGTTCGCTACATATGTATGTACAAGTATGTAGTGTTGGACTTGCGTATTAACATTTGCTGAATTTGTAAATTTACTAACTGTCATTGCATTGCTAAGAAATCACTCATTTTCACTTCATTGAAGCACACGTTCTGTTTAAATTAACTAACAGTTATCAAAAATCAAAATAGTTTTTGCCTTAAAATTTAAAATTGCATGAGGTTTACACAAAGGATACGCAAAGCACTTCATGGGCTGCTAAATTGGGTATAATGGGAGTGCCTTCATTTAGCTACATATTTTGAATCATCTTCGCTGTACACTCTTGTCATCATTACTAAAATTAAACTGCTTTTTTTATTCTTTTAAATATGCCAATACTTGCCGTACTTTGTAGACTTCGCGTTTCTTGCTACCGATCATGTCGATATCATCGGCGTACGACAGCAATTGCACGCTCTCGTAAAAAAATTTTTCTGAGCGGACAATATCAGAGTAAGGAAATCACATGAAAGGGAATCGCCTTGTCTGAAACCCCGCTTGGTATCAAACGGCTCGGAGAGGTCTTTCCCAATTCTGGCACTGCTGGTGGTATTGCTGAACTCCATTTTCCATAGCCGTTTCAGTTTGGCGGGTATGCCAAATTCTGCCTTTTAGCGCTGTCGAAAGCGGCTTTGAAGTCGACAAATATAAGATGAGTGTCGATCCTTCTCTCGCGGGTCTTTTCCAAGATTTGGCGTATTGTGAATACTGGTCTATGGTGGATTCTCCAGGTCTAAAGTCGCGCTGATTAGGTCCAATCAGTTCGGTGAATGTGGGTTTCAGGCTTTCACGCAATATACCCGATAATTGTGATCTCGCGGTAGTTGGCGCGTATGGCGACGTCGCCTTTCTTGTGGACTGGGAAGAGCACACTTAATTTCCAGTCGTCGGGAATGTGTTAATCTGACCACATTCGTACGTCGTCAGGGTCAGTTGGTGTAGCATTGACTCCGTCATCAGTTTTCAGTGCTGCTAGCACTCTGTAGGGTGGAAAAGTGTTCCCTCCATAATTCAAGTACGTTCTGGGGATCGGTCTTATTGCGGCAAATATGTCTCCTTTTCCTCTTCATCTCCCTATAACGGTCCCTCATGACTCGCTTAGAGCCCAAACGCGGCGTGGCCCTGTATCTGGCAACTTTTTTCTCTGCAGCTTCCTGACACTCCTCATTGTACCAGTTGTTCTTTCGGGCTGGCTGAAATCTGACTGTTTCTTTGGCGGCGGTACTTAATGAGCGGGAAATGTGATTCCTCTGCTCGCATATTTCGGTTGGTTGAAGAGTGCTCTCTGAGAGCAGATGCGAGAGTCGGATATCGAAAGCATTTGCTGTCTGTTGTGATTGCAGCATTTCGAAGTTAAGTTTTCCTTGTATTTTTAGGCGCACCTCTTTGCTGCACAAAGGCGGGTGTGTCTCTTAGCTGCAACAAGACAGTGGTCCGAGTCGATGTTTGAGCCTCGGATTGGACGTACGTCTAAAACGCTGGAAACGTGCTTTCGGTCTGTCACAACATGATCCATTTGGTTTCTCGTTTTTCGATTCGGAGACAGCCACGTAGCTTAATGGAACTTTTTATGCTTGAACTTAGTACTGCACACTACTATGTTTCGGGCCCCTGTGAAGTCGATCAGCCTCGACCACTTGTCGGACGTTTTGTCGTGGAGGCTGAATTTTCCGACAGTGGCGCCAAAGATCCTTTCCTTGCCCACCCTGGCATTGAAGTTGCCAAGCACGATTTTGATATCATGGCGGGGGCAGCACTCGGAAGAGATCCTTGGACGTCTCGTCCTTCTCTTCCTTCTGGCATGGGCGAAGATGATGCCATGGTAAAGTAGATTTGATTTTTAGCTGAAAAATAAGGTAAAAAACTAGATTGATCGGACCTGAATTGATCGGACCCAAGGAAATTAGGAAAATAGGATTCAAAATTTAAAAGTGGAATATTTTGACCCTAAGAACTAGTGAGGGTTAATTGCTGCTAGACAAAGGGTATTACTCAAGAATCTATCCTTTTTTATAAAACTCCTTATCCACTCCGTTTTTCTGTTCAAAATACTTCCGGAACAAAAAGGTCGGGGATTTCATAAGACCTAAAGGAAGACAATGTTTGAGGACTTTTTGAGAAATAATGAAATACTATAATTTTTTATTTATATATAAATTTTGAATCACATATCGCATTTATTGGAAGCTGCTTCTGGTTTTGCTGAACTGCGTTGTCTCAAGAAAATTTTGAACTAGTAAAAGCTAATGGCTTTATTCATAAAAGATAAAGTAGCTTTAAAAAAGGATTATAAACTGAAAAAATGCTCTAGTCTGATGGCTGCGTCCTGGGAATTCATCTCACAATTTAAAGTCACGGCTGCTACTGCTAGGGGTTGTACTGATTATGTCGCAGGTCGACCGCTCCACCAGATCTTTCAGTTGCAGCAGCATCCTTCCGACTTACTTGGATTTTGCAAAGGGGTCATTACTCTGCCAAATGTACATCTTAAATTAAATTTAATATATATTTATTTCTGTACATACAAATGTCTCACCTGCATCGTCGCTGAATTCATGTACACAAAAGTAATGTTTTCTATATCCTCTGCACTGAGTAAAAAAATTGCAATATTTTTTCTTCTAAAACAAGCTGTTTGTTACGCGTTTGCTGTGCAATTTTGAACTGCCATGACATTTTTATTGTCTTTTCTTATTTTATAAACTATACCAAGATGAAAATTTAAAAAATCTCTTCAATTTCTTCATTATAGACCGCACTCCGGATAAGAATACCTGGAAATGGAGTCTGCACTCGACCTCGACGACACCCGTGTACTTGGAGCGGCGCAATCAGTATCGACGCAGCGAGATACGCAATCGCTCGAAATTCAAGCGGAAGACTGTTTCCAATTCAACGTCCTTTGACAGTTTCAATGAGATTGCCGAAAACCAGGCAAGCGAGTCGCCGACCAAAACAACAGCTAGCGATGTGGCAAACGGCGCCAAATCGACCAAATCACTGACGCGTACCAACAGCATTGATGACAATATGTTGCCAGCGCTGCACAAACTCGCGGCGGCTATCAAGAACAAAGGCAAGTCAGACGAAGGTAACGGATCAGTGAGCACAATGAAGGCAGAAAACGCTGGCAGCGTGAAGGAACTGAATCCTGAAAATGATGCTGCGGACAAGGAGGAGCGAACCTCGTGCATCTTACGCGACCAACGTCGCAGCGCTTGCGCCTCACCCAAGTCACCGCTATTCGGCTTGAAGGCATTAAAAGAGCGCAGCAAGTCGGTGCCGCGCATCAGTTTCCAATGCGATGAATTGGATGAAGAACACGAGTCACTGCATGGTAGCAACACAAATCTTGATACGCGAAAATCCAAATCCAGCAAGTCGATTGAGGTGAAGCAATACAACAACAAAACTATACCGAAGCGCATAGCAACGCTGAAGAAGCAGCGCACCGGCAAAACTAAGGAGACATGCAAGTTCTACATGGATCTAAGTGAGTTCGACGATGCGCCCAAAACAGAGCTCAAGATCACCGAGTCCACGGAGAATCTGCAAGTGGAGGATAAGAAGTTACACGTGAGCGAACAGAAGGACGTTCAAACGGTGACGCAAAATCTGGACAGCATACAAATGCAGTTGGAAAAGCAGTGCGAGGAGCTGTTGTCAACGCTGAAGAAGAAAGATGCCGACATTATATTGGATTTGTTGAAACAGAATAAAGAGTTCGAGCGCATGGCGAAGAAAAAACAGCAGCGCAAGCGTGCGGCCGAACATGGCATAGGCGCCGGTAGTGGCAGCGGCAGCGGTAGCGCAGCAGGTAGCCCTGAGTCGTCTGACTATCCATTGATTAATGAGTTGCCGCCACGTCCGCCATCGCGCTCACCACCACCACTCGAGCCTGAGAGCAGACATGCCATGGCCAAGGATGCGACTCCTACAACGCCAGTGGAAGAAGATGAGGAGCCAATTTACGAGTCACTGCTGCGCAACGTACACGTTCCTTACAAGTTCTCACCGGTGATGGCGCGCTCCAAGTCAGCGCAGCACTGTAAGCCGCGTGAAAGGAAAGCACCGCCGGCGCCACGTCCCGAGTCGGACTATGTTACATTGGTGTACTCACCAGAGGGCGCACTACAGCAGGTGGGCGGCGAGATGGTCGCTGAGCGTGCTAGCTGTGGCGAGACACAACTGCGTCGCGACATCCCGGACGCGGCACAAGAACAACGTGACAGCACGAGTTCGTCCACTTCCACCTCCACCTCCTCCTCTTCTACGTGCACCCTGAAACGCGACAGTCAGAGCACTGTTATTAATGTTGATTGCTCTTCGGCAGGCAATATATCAATGATCTCTTATACGACTTGCAACTCCAACAGCGAAGCAATTTATGCGCGCCCCATACCAAAGAACTTAATGAAGCGCCTTTTCAGCACCGGCGCTCATAGCGCTACCCCACTCGGCTTGGGTAACAAGTGCACTCACGAAAATATATCCTCCTCGCATAATTCATTGCTGCCACGCGCGCGTAAATCCATCGACAATATTGCGCTCAGTTTCGGACGATCAAACAAGCCGCCCGAGCGACGCGTCTCCGATGTAACGGAAATGTGTCGGCAGAGCATATTGCATCGACAGGGTAGCGAAGCGGTGGGTGAGCGCATGGCGCACGTTGACTACGCAGACCCGCGCACGCTATTCACCGTAAGCGTCGCCACTTCGGACGCATCGTTGCAACGCGACTCGGTCTTCTCGCTCACTTCATCCAATGACAGCATGTGCGATCACAAGCGCGCCGCTGGTACAACGCCCGGCAGCGATGGCGCTAACTCTGACTTTGTGTACGAGGATAACGTCGAAGCCTGCCTGGAGAATGATTTCCGAGACTCGGCTATCTACAGCGATGACAATGAAAAACGCACAGACTATGAATTGGGCGATGGCGTCAAGCGACCCAACAGTCCACCTCCACCACCGCCACCCGCACGTTATCGCACCAACCCCGAAGTGCCACCAAAGCCGACTGGTATACCGCGCGTGAACATCAGCAAGACATCGCCGCGCAAGGAGATGCCACCATCGCCGTTGAGTGCGGCTGAGGCGCACTGCCTTGGCGGTAAGCCGAGCAGCGTTGTAATTTGTCCGCCACACATGAGCGCCGCAGCGTCGCGCAGTTGGGTGTTGCAACAAATCGACAACTTCAATAAGTAAAGGGAGCTGATTTCGGCCATTGGCTGTTGAAGACTTGTGCAGTTCGTTGCCATAAAATAAATCTAAAACATTTGGTAGATCTGAATTTAAATATACTGGAGAAATATGAAAAATACAATTTCATTAGTTGAATAGAGCAAAAAATTCTATAGTAGGAAAATGTATTAAATCAAAAACTTATTCAAATTTTACTAAGCATTTTGTTAACTGTTAAATAACAATATGCTTACAGTATATTTTTATTTTCTACATACTTGAAGCCACATTTAAAAATTATACTTAAATAAACAACGATAGAACGTTTTTACAAAAACTTACATATTATCCATACACTCGCTCGCATTTGTACATTTTGTATAGCATTTAAATTATTTTATTTTTTATTAGAGTTTAAAGGCCAAACGCTCTGAGTTCGCTGCTTTTATTGTGCATTAGTATTAAATAGTATACCTAAAAATATGTATGCATTTTAATTATAAAGCTTTTTCTTATTTTGATATACTTTTTGTTATTGTCTGATACAGAACTTATATTTGCTTTTAAGTGAATATATAAAAAAATCGCATAACTAAAAAATTTCGACATAACCGATCGATACGGAAATATCTGACGCACATTCATATATATATACGCGTTTACCGCGAAAAATGAATAAACTTAATAAAATATCGATTGTATTTGATATCTGCTGTTTTTAAGAGATTTGTAATTCAAAAAAATTGAAAAAAAACTCACATACTTATGTATTTATAAACATATTTAGCGAATTGTTTAAATCGTTTGTTTTATTTGGGAGGTCAAGGGCGATTAGAACTGAGAATGTAAAATACATTTTCTCAAAATACAAAATACATTAGGATGGTCCAAAATGCAAGTGGAAAAGTAAAGTCATAAGAAATTTACCCCTGTTTTTTTTTATTTTGAAATCAAAATATATTTAGAGTCGTTTAAAGCGCTCAAAGTTTTCCAGGTAGTTATTTTATATGGAAAAAACAACCTTTCATATAAATGGTATAGAATTCCTGAAAATCCACCCACCTCAATGTATTTCGCAATTGTACCGCGGGTCCCGTTGGTCCCGAAATATATTACTAAGAACAATTCATACGTATTTCATATTAATTTTAAATAAAAAAAATAATGAAATATTTGGTACCTCCCGATTATTTTGTATTGCTTTGCTGTTCGTTTTCGTTCATATTTTATTCAGCGTTTTTAAGGAAAATTTTGTGAATTCGCGTCAAAGGATTTTGGTCTCGTCCCGTTCGCAAAGCTTTTACAGACATTCCCGATACCGACCATACTGGCCATTTTTAAATAAGTACCGTGGTTCCTGCGGGTCCCGGTATCTCGCGCCCATCTCTATTCTATACCATTTCTACTTCTAAACACTTTGATAAAAAATAAAAATAAAATAAAAAAGGGATATATTTTTTCGAAACATGTAGAAATATCCTAGGGGGTGAGAGCATTAATATTCCGACTTTAGTTTTTTTGGACCACCCAAATGATCATAGATACATATGTACATCATATGTGATTATATACTCACATGCACAACAGTGTTTATCGATATAACGTAAGTTAATTAATTATAAAACTAAGTACTTTTTATTCCGATAATTTCTAAGTAAATTTTTAAATCTATTACTATTACTATTGCGACAGCTTTCAAAATGCAACAACAGTGGATGACAAACTGTGCATAGAGGAACATGTCTCCGCTAAACAGTTGCTCTCAAACTACAATGCCTAACACAAGGAGCCTCATATGGTAAGTTTTCTATTTTCGTTGGCACTGCTGCAGGGTGCACACGAAGATTAATATTTGCTTCCATTCGTTATTCCATTTTTTTTTTGATGATGCATTTCCGAACGTTTGTTTTGCAATTTGCGCAAAGCTTGGGGATTTTTTTTCTTTGGTACTACATACACACATATATGGGTTTTTCCATAGGATAGTCTACCAAAAAAATATTAAAGTCATATATCTGACGTAGTTATGGTCTGTTTTTTTTATACCCGAGCGCACTTGTGCACAAGGGAATTATAACTCTGTTCAAATAGCGGTTGTTTGTAACAGGCATACATAAATGATTAGAATTAAAAGAGAAGTCGATTAAGCCAAGTCTGTCTGTCCGTCAGTCTGTGCACACGATAACTCGAGCAAAAATTGAGATATCGTAACGAAACTGGGTATGTGTATGTACTACTTTTCGGCGTAGAACGGATGGTATTGAAAATGGTCAAAATCGGACAATAACCACGCCTACCTCCCATATTACGGTAATTTTCAGAAATACAAAAACTGCGATATTTTATTAACTCATGAAGATTATTCACTCAAAATAGATATTTACAATCATTTTCAGGCGAAAAATAAGAACATTATAAATTTTTGGAAAATGGGCGTGGCACCGCCCACTTATGATCACATATATGTACCTTGGTAACCGTTCGACCAATATGTACCAAACTCACAAAACGCTGAAAAGTATTGAAATCGGACTAAAATTACGCCCACTTATGTAACGGTAAATTTCAGAAATTCTTGAAACTTCGATATTTCGAAGTTTAAGGATGCTAATTTCCCAAAAATTAACGAATTTCATTGTGAAGCAAAACCCTCTGGGAAGACAATCATGCCTATTACGGTATCCGACGGATGCCATTCGCACGAATCTAATACTTCACTCTCGCTTGTTATGACAGTGAGAATCAGATTAGATCCGCGCGGATGGCATCCGTCGGATATCGTAATAGGCATGATTGTCTTTGAATAATTGAATTATGGTGCTAACATCCTTTAGTGTTGCTTATTATTGCTCTCTGACAAGCATGTGTAGAGAGTGAGCAGGTCTTAAAAAAACGCGAACGTTTCGAATATATGGACATCAAAATAAAATTACATAGTTAAATTGTTGAAAACTTAAAAAGTGACCGGCTTGTTCAATATAAACTACTGGTTTTTTTCCCAAAAATAATTTAATGAATTTATAATAAAAATAAAACAAGTTACTTTTAGCTGAAAAATTTTAGCCGTTTTTTGGCCAATTGAGCCAGTCGGCCCAAAAAGTTCTGGCAATACTTCTTCCGCACTCTCTTCTTTGGCATGAAATCGTCATAAATCTCCAGCGCATGAATAAACCAAATACTTGGCGGAAAACAATTTCTTACACTAGATTTCTTCCCATAAGGGCATAAAAGGGAACCAAGAGGTAGATATGCTTGCCAAAAAACTGCACTAGAAGAACCCAAAGACTTCTTTGCAATCGGATGACTGACTATCACGGAAGAGCATAAGAAAGAATAGAGAACAGCATTAGAACCAAGCTTCAAAGAAGGACAAGGAAGAAGAGGTATTACGGGATTGCAGAAAGAATATATGTACTTGATAAGCCTATTAACTTTTTTGAGATAAAATTTCTAACAGATATCATAACAACTCAATATAGGTTAACGTATCAGCTATACTCATACGAACTCAAGATCTGTAATTCTCAGGTCATAAAGCTTGTGGGCAAATGATATAAGTACAATCAAGGTCAATAAACGGCTATTGGATTTCCTTAAGTAGTTGAGGCTGAACGAGAATGTGCAAGCAATAAGACGGCACAATAGGTTTCCTGGTTGCAGTTCATATATACATATATGTATCAGCAATCTCTTTGTTCATATATTTATCTACCAATCTTCTCTGGGTAAAAGAACGCAACCTGGTAATTAAAACGTCTACCTTACATTAAACGGTATGACAAAAAAGCGATTTCATTGACATTTGCCCTTAATTCCATCCTGCTGGTATGCCACTCCACTTAGTTCCGGTTTCTATAGAGACAGCTACAGATTGACGCCACGCCAGATCTGACATTTTTAATATACCAGATTGTCTGGTTCAAATGTAAGTATTTAATTGGTGGCGCCAGACCGTTATGCGACGAGTCGGATGTCTTCGAGATGTGGAAATCATCACTGCTGCTGATATTGGTGACGACGACGTCGCCAGCGGTCATTGCTGGAGCGCTCTTACCACACCAACGCCATTTAATAAAATCAATATAGTAAGATAACAACAAAAAAATATGAAATAAAAGATGATGAACAAATGCAAAACAAATTCGGTGAAAGAGTTAACAAACAAATTAAAAATCATTTTTATAGAAATTGCTATGTATATCACAGCCAAAAGCTTGGTATTTGTTTGGTGCTGATAGCCGTCTGGCAGACGCTGACTTTGGCTACATGTTGATGCGTTATGCCGCGGATTATTTGTGGTCTTCTTCTACATCTTTTTTTCTTCTTTTTTATTTCTTTTATGCTTATTTGTAATGATGGATATTGACGTATTGGCATCTGATCGCTAACAATTAGTAAAGATTTACATATGCAGATGTAAGCCAAATATTGATTACATTCGGACCGTAGATAATTGGTCGAAATTTGCACTTCGCATTCATTAAAGTTGATAAACCAACACTTCCAGCAAATTAATGTTGATTTAATTAAAACAAGATAATTGACTGACTGATTGATTGCGATATGGTAATGTCGGCTTGATATTTTGCAATTAACGAAAAAATACAGGAAACAAGAAAAGGCAAACGCGAAAAAAATCAAATAACTATTCCAAATTGTTACCTGAGTGGAAGATCGACCTATCTCGGAATCCAATTCGGAAACGCCCTTACTCAGAAAACTTTTTAAGAACGCCTCATTTCAGAATTTGTATGAAGAACAACACCCTATATATTTATATATAGAAATAATATTGTTGTAACCCTGTGTAGGGATAAAAAAAATTGTCAAATGGGGTGGCCCTTTGCCAAAATGATCAGATCATCTGGCTGAGTAGATTTAGCCATGCCCATCTGTGTGGTGGACTCAATCCAGTGTCTTCATCTACTCAAATATGCAAAAATGGAAGTAAAAATATTTTATTTTGTCCCATTTTTGTAAGAGCTCCCTAGGGACCTAGTATGTGTAAAGGGCCTGGGCAGTCGGGAGTTACATTTTTGTAAACGGCGGTTCATGCCCTCTCTAAAATGGGGTGTGAAAGATGCCACGCCCCTTTCCATTCGCCCACCCCGCACACAACGATCAAACATACAACGAACATACAACTGATTGTTCGTATATGAGATTTTTTTATAATTCAATTTATGCGTAGTTTTCACATGTTTTCAGCATTAAGATTACAGTGAAATTGGCAAAGGGCGAGTCACGCGATAACCTCTAGCCTCCATACAACAGATTGTTCAGATGTAGAGTTTTACTTTAAAAACTCCTTCATTTGGACGGCCCAAACCGAGCCGGGTATTTTTAAATAATCGTACAAAGTTCACAGAGAAAATCATCAAGATCGGTGCTGCATAAGCTATAACTCCTATATCACTGATTGTTCATTTACAAGTTTTTGTGATATAACTCCTGCACAGCTAAAATAATTTAATTGTGGGTATTAAATAAAAACCTTTAGTCGTCTCCAGAAACTTCTAGTTACAGCCAAGTAAGCCTATTAGCTTTTATAAATGATGGATGAAATAGTCTTCAATAATTTCAAAATTAAAGACCATTTTTAGGGCCGCTATCAGGCTTTAAAATAATCGAGTTCTCCTTAAATCTCAAAAATTCTACACTATTTTGTCCTCGACCAGCTATAACTCGGTGAGTTTGTGAATTTATATAAAAAACTTTTTTTCACACCAAAAACTTCGTGACTGCGAAGAGCACTCACAGGTTTTGTTTAACACTTTATTAATTAG